TAGTACTTAATCAATGGTTGGATTTGTTAAAGCGTAATGGTTAATCTATTCTAACATGGTTAGGTTGGAATTGTTGGTTTTGGCATTTATAAATTATTTAAATGTGTAGAATGGAGTAATTAATATTGATATTTATGTTTCCAATGTTAATCAATTTGTTGGGACTATTCAAGAACGGTTGTTAATACATTCTGATATGCTTGATATGGACTCGTTGATATTGTTATGTACTTGTATATGCTTTGTCAACTATTGGACGGATGGGATTGTATATACCGGTATGGGACGGTGACATACTAGGTTTGGACAGCACAAGTTGCTAAGTTCTACCTATTTGGAATGAAGGTACGGGTTATTAAATAAATTCTCCTTATATGTATGTAAGTTGGTGTGGTGGACTACGCTAAACGACTTAATGGATTTTTTGTGGATGGATGAAATTGGAGTTTAAATATCTTTTTATGGTACCGTGACATGAGTTTGAGCCTCAGAGTCAACGGTTAGGATGCGTATATGCAGTTAGATGTGTGGCTGACTGTGGGGATTGAGGTATACCCTGTTTAGGCTTAGGTACTCATACCCACTCAGGTGCGATTTGTGTGATACCTTCTATTCAGGTTGAGACCCTCTTCATAGTCTAGCGAGAGTCCGGTAGTGTGGATATATATTTATGTATGGACTATTAGCTATTGTTGAACTATTTAGTATGTACATGCGTATCGGGTCTCTGCTTGGATTGTAATAGGATAGAACTTGTTCGTGGGCCTGACCCACTCCTATTTTACAGGTGTACGTCAGTTCCAAGCTTGAGCTTGTTCGTGTGGAACAGAGACGGTCACTCACTCTTCCGACGATGTAGGATCTCTTTCCAGATGTTCGACTTGGATTTTATCTTCAGTTTTACTTTGATTCAGTTTGGAATTTTTATATTAGGGGTCCACTAGAGATGGATTCCCGAGTTGTTAAAAGATTGGAGATTTTGGATTGTAGGATTTTAAGTTATTAATATTTTAAGATTTTTATAATGAGGATTTCTTTTATAGTTTCTTTCCGCTTATTCTTTTATTTCTTAAATCATTTTTGTAATCTGTGTTCGTTTAAAATACTTTAATTGTTTGGTACTCCTTGGTTCTGTGCCCGGACTTGATCACCCGTGGTTCTAGAATCGAGGGGTATCAAAGGTGTTTTATACAATTGACCCAAAGATAAAACAGAAATTGAATTAAAAAATAAATGCGTTGAAACCTTATTAATTTAAGCTTGTAATAAAAAAAATTGCAGCACGAACGGATCCCTAAGGGTCTGTTTGGGAACCAAAGTTATTTTGTGTTTTTACTTTGACCTGAAACAAAAACAATGTTTCTGTATTAGAGTGTGTCAAATACTGGTCTGAAGCATGTTTGGCAACATATATTTGTTACAAGATTTTTAATAGCAAAAACATGATAACATGTTTGGTAAAAAAATATTACAAGTTCAAAAAAATAAACCGACTAGTTAAAAAGGTAATTTTAGAGTGTTTTTTCTATTCATCAAATATTACCACCGCTTGTTTTTTGAAAGGGATTCAGTGCTATTCAAACCACACAAATATTACTAAACACATTTTATATTTTTTTGCTTGGATCATCAATCTTTGTTTGTTTCTTATTGTGTTGACCAACAACATTAATTTGGTACATGAAGCCGGTGTGGTGGTCCGCAGTATGCGGTGTGGTGGTACTTGGAAGGTCTTAATTGGACCACGCATGAGCTTTTCACATGGGATGATAATGTTAGGGACAATGTGCTAAAATGTTTACATGATCTTAATCAAATCACACCACCAAGCTGACACGTGGAAATTAAGAAACATTTTAGAAACTTGAACTGCCATGCATGTTCCAAGGTTAGGCTGGCAAATCTAACTCTTCTACATGTCAGATGTTGAGTTTCACTTCCTACATCGAACATTTCCACACTAAAATGTAATTTAACATTTCAATCGATTTCAACCATAGATATCAAGATGTATTTTGCTAAATTCTTACGTGGAAATTTTGATAATCACGTTTTCATTTTTGTTGAACTCTTCATTTAATTTTATTTTGTTTGTAGCATGTTAACGTTTCATCACTTTGTTATGCTAATTGATAATCTGTAAATATTATGATATTTTTTGCAATGATAAATATATATATATATGTGATGATGTTAATTTACAAATTTTATTTATTTATTTATTATTATTATTATTTTTTTTATAGCTAGCTGGTTAATTTACGAATATAAACATTCAAAATTTGAATGCAAATGTGTTAAATTACTTATCCCTCAACAAATTCCTTTCATATTTCAGCAATAGCTTATTGTTCAATTTGTTATAAAATTCAAAATATGAAAGAAACTAGTATTTTTATAATTATATTATTATGTCAATTATAGTCCGTTTAATTTTTTTATACGTATGTAAATCTTTTAGGTCGAAAACCGATTTTGAGTTTCTATCCTCATTTTGAGCTTGGATATGGTTTACTTTGCTTAAATTTTACAAATAAATGTAGCATTTATAAACCCTGTACACATTTCGCCCTCAAATTTCTAAACCATGAAGCATGTCACATGCTCTAGTTTTGTCGATCAAGCTTTGCTTTTTTTCTCTTGCTTTTACTTTATTACCATTAAGTCAAATCAAATTTATTAAGTTAAAAAAAAAAAAACAAACCTTATTGATCTTTTGTCTCACAATATATTGCAAACCCAACAGTCATATATTTTTTTTCCACTCAAAGAAACTCACTTGTACGTTTGAAAACTTGATTTTTTTTATTTTTTTTTTTTTTCACTTCAAATGATGAAAAAATATCACTAAATTCAAAGTATGATAAATTGTGAACCATTTTCAACTCTTTGATTCTTTATTCCAGATGGACCCACTTAAATAGGCTTTTTTTTTTTTAACCATTATAATTTGCCAAGTGTCTAGTTATTGACTTGAGTGGGATGTGATCATGTGGCTTGATTAGACCAAAGAGACGACAACGCACAAACTGTGTTTGTCGGCATGTACGCAAATCTGGGCCCTTATTGGGCTCTGATGAACTGTTGGAGAGCCATGCAAGTCCATACCATGTTCGTACTCTAGCTACCTTCCTCATCAGTACAGCTATCAACCGGACTCCACCATCGTCTATTCTCAACCACATTTCATAATCTCCTTTCACATCCGGATCTTATTAAACGACGACAGTTTATATTTCACCACAAAACTTACACGATTCACAATCTAAAAATCATAACTAACCCGCCATTATTAATTCACATGATTTGTGAAGGATGTGATTAAGAAATTTGATATTTTATGTTTTTATCAAAATCTTTATCCTTTACTTATTATACAAGTTCTATACAAACTAATGCTTCTTCTTTATTGATCGCGAATCAAGAGGTCTATCTATGTTTGTTTTATAGTTTTTATTAAACTAGTCACTAGACCTAATTTTTTCCCTTCAAAAGGGCTGATCAGTAATGAAAATATTAAAAAGTTAAATAATTTTTAAAATGAGAGAATGCTTTGAATTCACATGCCAATTAATTAAAAGTTATCTTCCACTTCAATGCATAATGATATTTGGTCGGTTTTGAGATTCTCAAAATTTTGAAAAGTCTTAGGTGAATTTTAAAATGCGAAACCTTTTTTGCATAAAGTTTCCCACAAGTAAAAAATTTATATGAGTGTGAAATTTACATTAAAATCAGACCATAAACACATAAAATGTACATGTTAAAATTGAAAGCACACAGAGAAAAAATCAGTCTTAACGTTTCATAAAGAGCATAATTCAATTTATATTAACAAAAATAAAAAATACTCAAAATAATTTAGTCACAAAAATCAAAATTCAACTTCATATCAAAATAAATGGGACCGTCTTACCTTTTGAGATACAAAATTATAAATTAAAGTATTCCAATTACTGTCATAATTTCGCTGTTTGAACTGAATGAATTAAAACTTTGACAATTGATCACATTTTTCAGTTAAAAATTTTGTTGTCTGAACTAGACTTAACTATCATGCGCATGTACGTGAGCTCGAAACTAATACAATAATAAAATAATTAGTTTCTTGTTTAAATATAAAAAATTCTTTTTTATTTTAAAGGAAAGGGATAGAAACAAATCAGTTTTACCATATAAATTATATTACATATTTAAAGTGATATTATAAGTATGTATTTATTCTCATAAATTTTTTTTTTGAAAGTTATTTTTACCATAATTTTATATGATATATGATTGTGTATTGTTTTTTAATTATGGAAATTATAGTTTAAAATGGATATCTTTTAATTAATAAAAAAAATAATTATATTTAATTATAAAAAATAGTGATATTTCACATATATTATTATATTACATTATGGTATTAAATTTGAAGCCCCAAACGACTGCCTTAGTCCCTTTATCCCCAAGACCTGCCTGTACCTCGTGAATTCATTGCTAATAAACACCACCCTGTTACAAATTAGAAAAAATGCAAACCACTCAAATGAACAATTATTATAACCCACAATTATATTATTATAATCTATACCACTCAAATGAACGGGTTATATTAATAAATTATTAATCCTATAATTGCGTATATTATTATTACTGTTATTAATGAACTTCAGTTAACTCTAATAAATAGGCACGCAAACGAATTAAAATATTTTGGTTAGTAACAAAAAATAAAATTAAAAAATAAAAAATATTGTTGCACTACTACATTAGTGCTCCATTAAAATGGCTCAGCAACGCCCAACCATTTCAACCTGAGTCCTCAACATACACGTGTCAGTTAAAAGAGAGTCGTTTCGCTGTCGGTTGCTTAGGAAACTCACAGCTGTAAAAGTGCCAAAAAAAAAAAAAAACCCACAGCTGTACACGTCTTAACTCTATTTTCTACCCCGGACCCCTGATACCACTAACCCTAAGGTAAAAATATCAATCAATTATAGAATATAAAGCCTCAAACAAACAACTCCGCTTTCCTCTCTCTCTCTCTCTACTTTCGACTTTCTCGGAATAGCTCCGATTCCTACCGCCCAATGCAACAAAACTTTTCCATTAATCTCCATTAATCCCAAACCAGGAAAATTCCGGCTGAATTTCGCCGGAAACCACCGTACATTCTCCACTCTCATGCTTCCTATTTCCAATAATCCGTCGTGGGAATCCCTCCAACCCAACAAAAAAAACAAAACCCTAGACTCAGATCGCAAGACCTACTTCAACTCCGTCCAACACCCTCGCATATGGCTCGTCGTCGCCATTTTCTCTCTCCAGATCTTCCTCCTCCTCATGGCTCGCTCCCTCCCCGTCTCCCTCTCCATCCCCCGTACCACCCAACAATTCCCATCTCCACTCACACCCAAGTTGAACCAGTCCCACCTCGACGACGATTTCAATAAAAGTTCCCGGCATTTCTCTGCTCCGGGCACGCCCGCCGTCTCCGTTGGCGGCTTAAATAAATCTTCCCAGAATTTCCCTGCTCCGGTCACTTCCACCGTCTCCGTTCTCCGCGAACCCGAATGTGGGTCAGGTAAGGTCTACGTCTACGACCTCCCACCTTTCTTCAATACCGAATTCTTACAGAAATGCGACGATTTGAGTCCGTGGGGTTCGCGTTGCCACGCCTTTTCGAATCATGGGTTTGGCCGGAGAGCCACCGGACTCTCCGGAATCGTGCCGGATAATCTGATGCATGCGTGGTACTGGACGGACCAGTTCGCGTCGGAGATCTTATACCATAATCGGATAATGAACTATGAGTGTAGAACGTCGGACCCAGAATCGGCTAAGGCGTTCTACATACCGTTCTACGCCGGACTCGCGGTCGGGAAGTACCTCTGGTCGAATTACAGCCCCAAGGATCGTGATCGTCACTGCGAGATGATGCTGAAGTGGGTTTACAATCAGCCCTACTTCAACAGATCGAACGGCTGGGATCACTTCATCACGATGGGCCGCATCACTTGGGACTTCCGACGGTCGAAAGATAACGACTGGGGCTCCAGTTGTATCCACCTGCCGTTGATGAGGAACGTTACGCGCCTTCTGATTGAAAGAAATTCTTGGGACTACTTTGACGTCGGTGTACCCTACCCCACTGGATTCCACCCCAGCACGGTCTCAGACGTTATACAGTGGCAAAACTTCGTACGTACACGTAAACGTACCTCGCTATACTGTTTCGCGGGCGCGACACGTGGCTTCATAAAGAACGATTTCAGGGGTCTTTTACTGAGTCAATGTTACAACGACTCGGACTCGTGCCGGGTCGTGGACTGCGCCGGGTCTCGTTGCTCTAACGGCACGTCGGCGATTCTCCAGATGTTCCTGGAATCGGAATTCTGCCTGCAGCCGAGAGGTGATAGCTTCACCCGCCGGTCCATTTTCGATTGCATGGTGGGCGGTTCGATCCCGGTGTTTTTCTGGAACCGGACGGCTTACTATCAGTACGAGTGGTTCTTGCCGGGTGAACCGGATAGCTACTCGGTTTTTATAGACCATAATGAAGTAAGTAATGGGACGGTGTCAATAAAAGATGTTCTGGAGACATATAGCAAGGAAAAAATAAAGAGGATGAGAGAGAAAGTGATCGAATATATACCAAAACTTGTGTATGCAAAACCCAACAAGGGTTTGAAGGGTATTAAAGATGCATTTGATGTGGCTATGGATGGGGTTTTTAGGAGGATAAAGGAGCAAGAGGAGATTGGATTTAAGTGGTGATTCAAGAAAAGGTGAGGGGTAATTTGTTAGACATATTCAATTTGTGTGTATTTATTTATTTATTAATTATAGATTATTGCAGTTTTTTTTTTGAATTGCAATGAAAGAGGGATATATATGTAATTTTGCTACTCTCATGTTGATGTTGTATACTTGTATACAGTTACAGTTAAAATAGTTATTACGGTTGTATTCTATTTTGTTGGGAAAATGAATTTTCATTTGTACAGGCTGGTTCCTTGAATGGAGTGATGGTTGGCCTTGGTTGATGAAGTTTAATAAATTTGGGCCACCAATGAATGATGTCGGTATTCAGAGCAACAATATACAATGTGTTCTCTTTCCACGCCTGTAATTACTACTTGGAGGATGCTATGAACATTATTAATTATTATTATTATTATTATTATTATTTTGTATATATCTTGGCATTTCAAGGTTTTTTTTTTTTTTTTAATTTTTTTTATTTTGGTATATATACAATTTTTTTTTTTTTTTTTTTTAAACAGCAGTTGCATAATAGGGAATAATTTGAAAAAATACTACAAAGCGTGTACGAAATAACTAGTTGTAAATAAAAGCTTGTTGGTGCTTGGCCTAATGCTTAAGATGATGATAACCTAAAGTTAGGGACAATGATTGCTGTTTATTGGTTTCTTTTTGTTGCTTTCTAGCTTATCCTAGTTCACTTTATTAATTAAAGATTGCCACTTTTTACATTGGAGATTCCAATTGGGAATTACTATTTATTTTTTTTATTTTTGGGAATAAAACCATAAAAGGGAATAATTTATCTGAATTCAAAAAAGTGGCACTTAGAGGAACGAAAAATAGCGTTACATAGATATTATTACTTATATAGTAAGATTGGCTGTTTGGCTCAAAAATGATATGAATTAACCTCTGTCCTTAAAGAATTCAATAACACAGACGTTTTTATTTTAGGAAATTACCTTGAAAATATTAGCATTATTTTTTTTTAAGATTTACCCTGTATCATTTAGTGAAACAACCAAGTACATAGGGATGAAAAATATTGGAACATGAATTTACTGAAAATGTGATTTCATTGCCAACGTGTAAATACTTGCTAAACTAAGCCATATCTTCATTGTAATTTCATTATTATAAATAATTTTTTTTTTTTTTTCAATGAGATAGAAGAAATACATAAAATTATATGTTCTAAATTGATGCAATGGATCAATTTCCTTCCAAGAGAGAGTTTTAGGAACTAACCGAGTATTGTACAATTTTTATTTTATTTTCAATTCTCTAAAAACATAAAAAAGTTTTCAAAAGCATATTGTCGTATTAACTTCCAAAAAAACTAAAAACAATACCCAGATCAACAGAGCTTGTGAAGACATGGATGTGATAGAGATATGATTAAACTTTCTGTTGTCTGCTTTCCAAACCATTAATGGAGGAAGATGAGCTGCATGTGAAAATGTCGTATTCTGAGCTCCTCTATCTTCATTGGATGGCCCAATTGTGCATTTGGACCACTCGCATCAGTAGTCAGGCCCACCAAATGATGTGCACGTTTAAGAGACAAATTCACAACTATTTTATCGAGTACATAAATTTATATCTTAAACCATTACATGAATTTATCGTAAATACAGAATTTAATGACGATTCCATTTTGAAAATCAATAAATTCATTTAATTATTAATTTTAGAATACATAATGAATTGGGTAAGTAGAATTATACATAGAAGGAAAAAAAATGCAAATTTCGAAAAGTCAATAACTTTTGAAATGAGTGTCTTTAGACAATAAAAGTGCCAATAAACTTCCAACCAAAATACAAAGTGATCTCTATAAATAAACCAATTATTATTTTTTCATCTATAAATTAACCTAAAGAAATTTGAGAACTCTGTTTGCTTGGATTGGGCTACGTGTTTGGGCTTCAATTGTTTTGTTGTTCCTTTAACTCTGATAAACGTTGTTGGGCTTATTTGAGCAGAATTTCTGTTCGCTTGGATTGGGCTACGTGTTTGGGCTTCAATTGTTTTGTTGTTCCGTTATCTCTGATAAGCGTCGTCGTTGGGCTTAATTGCATAAATATTAAAACGACGTGGTATTTTTTAAAACCGATATCGTTTGATTTTGCGTAAGTGAAAAAAGAGAATCCAACGGTTGAAAATCGCTCCACCGTCAAAGCATAAAAACGGAAACCCCTAATAAACCTTCACCATCTTTCGCTCCCGCTACTACTGCAACTCACTGACAGTCTGCCACACCCTTTTATAGCAGGAGAACCCCCACTTCCCGCTTCTCTCTCTATTCCTTTTCTCTCTCTGTAGTGATGCCTTCTCTTACCATGCCCCAATCAATCTCTCTCACCCAAAGTTCGTAATGACAAGAAGGAGAAGAAGAAGATGAACAACAACACGAAAACCCTTGAATAATATTGAGAAACTGAATAATATTGAGATAAATTCGAAGGTTTCTGAGTCTGAATCTGAAGAAGATTCGCAGCATAACTTGTTGGAGAAGAAGAAGAAAAAGAGCAAGAAGAAAGAGAAGAAACGGAAGTATTTGGAGATTTTTGAAGAACACGAGGAGGAGGAGAGCGACACGAGGTCGTAATTGGGCGAAGAAGATGAAGTTGATGGAGGTTGATGATGAGGGGGAAGCAATGGTTGATGATAAAGGTGAAAATCCGAACGCGGTGTCGAATTTTAGGATCTCGGGACGTTTAGAGACGCATTAAAGTCGAAGGGAATTGAATCCTCGTCTCCTATTCAAGCTTTGCCATTGAACACTATTTTGGATGGTTCGGATTTGGTGGGTCGGGCGAGAACTGGACAGGTACAGATTCTTCATTGAGCTGGTTATTGTTTTGGATTTTAGTTTGTTTTATTCCTTTGCAATTTATCATTCGATTGGTATGTGTTGCAAAACTAGAATATTTCTGTTTGTCGCGCCTAATTTCTTCATGGTATCCGAAAATGGACAAGTTAAGAAATTTTGAATGAGATTTTGCATCTTTTTATGCTGTGATAAAGTAATTATAAATGTTTATAAATAAAGTTGGTTTTGTCACTAAGATATCAATTTTTTTTTTTGTTTTTTTGTGCTATCGCTATATACATGAATGAGATTTATTGAGTCTAAGATGTACTGTTATTAGACTCTGCGTAGTCCCTAAACTCTTGAGGTAGAATAGAACCTTCATTATTTTGATAGTGGATGGCAAATAGCATGTATACATATATATATATGTGTGTGTATATATATATATATATATATATTTTTTTTTTTCGGTTAGACTGTCATTTCTTCTTTAGCAAGCTGCCAATGCATTGTTGTCAACTTTTGATTGCCGCTTTATACAAAGCACATCATAGTAAACTAAAAATTAGGGGCTTATATATATATTCTACTTAGTTTTTTTTTTCCTTTTATGGGAATAAAAATTTTACAAGAAGAGAGAGAAGGAAGAAGAAGAAGAAGAATAAACTCAATCTTTCCCTGTCTCGAGCATTTTGCTTCCCGTCTAATAAATTTTGTTTAGGGTTCGACTCATTTGACAAGTCTACTTTCCAATAAACACAGTGAGTTATTTTCCCCTTAATAACTTATCAATGATAATACGATGATAATTCTTAATCACAACTAACAAACAGCACAGAGAGTTGATGTTAATGAAAATTAAAATATGTTCTAAACCATGCGCCTGGAAGAAGTTGATTTCAGTATCCATATCCTAGAGACTTCCTATTTTGGGTAAGTTAAAACACATCTAGATGTCTTAGGAACTTATGCACGTTGTGGCTAGTACTCTGGTTTATCTTCCCTGTTTTATCATTTTGATAAGTAGCATGTTGTTTTAGCTCTTTCATCATCTAATGTTATCAACATTGGATTCTGTATAGACCGCACTTAAACTGTAGTTGAAGAAATTGTTGTTCTTTGAAGTTGAAGATTTCTGATTGTTCATTTACTTTGAATTTCATTAATTGATTCCAAATATTTTTCTTGTTTCGTGTACTGAATACTAGTTCCTCTGGATACGCTTTACAATTATACATGCAGGGTAAAACATTGGCATTTGTATTGCCTATACTGGAGTCATTTTCAAATGGGCCTACAAAAGCATCACGAAAGACTGGCGGGAGGGCACCAAGTGTTCTTGTACTTTTACCTACTTGGGAATTGGCCACTCAGGTATTAACACCAGAGTTGAAGTCCAAGAGATCTTCACTTTTTCTGACAATTTCTTTTCCTAGTCTTTTTTGTTTGATTTATTGACATGTCTGCTTAATTTTATCAAAGGTGTTCGCTGACTTTGAAGCCTATAGTAAGGCATTGAGGCTGACTTCATGCTGTTTATATGGGGGAGCTCCGTACCAGTCTCAAGAGATTAAATTGAAAAGGGGGCCGATATAGTTGTGGGAACACCTGGCCGTATTAAGGTGGTTTTTTCTTTGATTTAGTTTTATAGATAATTTTTAAATTGTTTCCTACAACATCACTGGCTTTTGGCGTTCCCCAACTTACCTGAAAATTTTGGTGTAGGATCACATAGAGGAGAAACATTGACTTCAGCTCATTGAAGTTCCATGTCCTTGATGAAGCTGATAAAATGCCGAGGATGGGTTTCGTTGAAGATATTGAACTTATTTTAGGTATGTAATTCATCATTTTTATTTTCATGGGAATATCTTGCACCTCATTATAGAGTCCAACACTGTCTCATTTGTTTTATATCATTTTCTCATAATTTCTGTAATAATTTTACCACTTAACATTATGTTAATGTGTTTCGGTTTGTGTTTGAGATAAATAAAATTCCTACCAGGGTTCTCAGTCATGGTCGCGATCACTAACGTTGACATAGACCACGCGGTATAACAGAATTAGGCCCGTAGTGGCGTTATGCAACCAAATCAATTTTTTTTTTTTTTTGGATCTTGCACGTGGGGTTCAAAATGCACCGTTACGCATTAAGTAGAATAAAGGTGCAACTTGAATGTGAAAAGGTGCTGATTTTTTTTAGTCATTCTTTTACAATTTTCAACTATCTTAAGTATGTTATAAATCTAACGAAAGCAGAACATTTAACATAGGCTGGTGGATAGTTACTTGTCTTGGGTGGTGGAACGCCTGGGTTAGCCATCCTGTCTCACCCAACTTTTTTTTATTGGAAAAAAGAGAGGAGAAAAACGTGCTCGAGCTTGCCGATTTGGGCCTGCCTGATTCCAATAGAAACGCCTGTTTTTGTTGGTACCGGCCGTTTCGGTTGTGAACTTAAGTACCCACCAGTATATCGTTGGGTATCAGTATCAGCATCAGCGGTCCCGCTGCGAACTTCGGAGAACCATGGTTTCTACTGGTATAAATGGAGAATGGAAGTGATCGAATTGTGTGTGTGAGTATTAAAACATTATTACGT